GGGCCAGATAGAGTCGTGTCATATGGGGTGGGGGAGGGGAGGACGCGGAGATATGCATGCAGTCAACCGACCTCTGGCCATGGAGGGCCTAGAGTTTGCCTGAGGTTCTTCTGCGCGAACAAGATCGTCTTTCGCAAACTGATGGCAGTCGCCCTTGCCGTTGCTGGCAGGGGGAGATCCATAAGTGGCTTAGGGTAATTCTGTGGAACCTTGTAACTAACACGGAAAGCTTCGTTGGAGCTCATACGATGTCCGAAATCAACAATATGTGAGAGAATTTCGCTGCTTTATGACTTTAAATATTGATACAGTGGCCAGAAACTGTTGTATTTGAATGCCAACTTTTGACAGGGAAACAAGCTAATATCCTGTCCAGTGCTCTAGAGCGTAGCCTCTATCTGTAGCAAACCCTGATCGCTGAGAGGAGTCAAGGCGCCCCTTGCCAGATTTTTAACTTGTGGGTCAAACTGACCCATAAGTCGAATGTGAATAAAGATCGAATATCCATTGGCAATTTAGCTCGGTACTTCCTATCTCGGATAGATTCAACGAAAATCAAGATGACAAGAAGATGGTTTGCATTTCCGGCAATCACACCTTGAAATTGGCATTCGAGAGTCCGCGCACTTTTCGTGAGCACTCCTCAATCTTCTACAGTCCCTCCTGAAATAGGTTTTTTTGAGCTCTGATGGTGGGATGGACCCTCCCTCTGAATGCACATAGTCTGGTGTTAGCGCATTATTGTCCATACTGGAGCTTGTTATGCAACTCCATATCTGCGCACTACTTAATATCTATTAGTAGTTGTTAATTACACGCCGTTATTCTGCTGAAACCAATGCAGTCCTGTTAAGATGTTCGGACACAACCCGTGAAGGTGTTGACAATAGAACTTCTGTTAAATCCGCACATCAGTTTTTCAGAAAATAAAACACCTTACACACTGTTGGAAAATGAAAATTTTGGCTGAAAAACTTGCTGAAGTTAAAATAGCAGAACGACCTTTGCGATACAGAGCTTAACCTGAACACAGCGACGAGATGAAAATAATCAATCGAACGCTCTGGCTACCAGAACAAACTCCTTTTCCGTACAAGGTACACCATATGTACACAGTTCAGGGCCATTCAGTAATGCCTCCCGTCGGGAATAGCTATTAACACAGAAGATCAAACTAGGAATATCACAGGTAAATGGTCTCCTCGACGTCTTCCTTGATATCATTATGCACCTCCTGATAGTCCTCCTCCAGCGCAGCCAAATTCTCCCTCGCGTCTGCAAACTCATCAAAATCAAGACCCTCATTAAGGTACCAGTGCAGAAATGCCCTCTTGGAGAAGAGGAGATCAAAGTTGGCAGTGAGTTTCATCCAGGCAGTTCGAATGGCTGTCGTGTTTGCCGCCACACAGACAGCCCTCTGCAGCTTGGCCAAATCGCCCCCAGGCAGGACTGCCGGCGGTTGAGCCGAGAGGCTGCTTTTGAAGCCCGTAGGACACCACTCCACGAAGTCCATACTCCGCTTCTTCTTTATGGCGGACAGGGTCCTGTTGATTTCCGTGGGACTCACGTCGCCGCGGTAGAAGAGGCAACAGGACATGTATCTGCCAGCTCTGAGGTCGACATTCACCAGTTGGTTGTTGCGATGGAAGGCGGCGGCAGTGATTTTGCCTGTTGAGAGGTCCTCGTGGTAGGCCTTCTCTGGCGTGATCAGCGGAGCATAGCTGACCACAGGGAAGTGGATGCGCGGATAGGGCACGAGATTGGTCTGCAGATCGTTAAGATTCATGCCCTGGTTGCCGGGAAACCGAATTGGACAGGTGAGGGCGCACAGCACCTGTGCGATGATGTGGTTTATGTTGGAGTAAGTTGGCCATGAAATGCCCATATTCTTCCTGCATAAAAGGGGGGAGGGGAGGCAAGTAAACTTCGATCATTCGCATTTTTCTAGAAGAGGTTTCCGAGAAGGCAAAAGACAACCACGCTCTACCCGGTCTTGCTCAGATCTCAAAAACACTACTAGTTAAGATGATAGTTGGCAGCCGTGCCCACAGACTCCACAATGGCACCTACTGGATCGATTTGAGTAGCTGTGATTTCGTTCTCATTATGCTTCTAAATTCACGCGCACGCTGTATTACCTGTATCAGATTCATTTTAGAGGTACTATCCTGGGCAGATTTGTACCGGTAAAAATGGCAATGAGGCTTACCCTATGTCAAATCGCCATTTACTCGTCCACTCAATTGTCCCACCCGTAAAGCCCTATTACCACCGGTCCCAATTGACAGGCAGTTTGGAGTTTGCGGTGTCAGGAGGGCTACCAACTATCATCTAACCCACTACTAATGTGGCTGTACAATATGCCATAGCAGAAAACACAGGCTCCAGCTAAAAGCCCAGACACGTGTCTCACTGATATTTTTTTCAATGCATGACACAGCTGCGAAGGGGTTCCACCCACCAGTGGGTCCCCTAGCGTTGCCTGTGGCTTTCTGGTAGATACTGCCGTTTTTAAATTGCAGATTTTTAATGCTCTCAGAAACAAATGGCCAATTTGGAGGTAAATCGGTCTATCTGAGGTTTATAAGTGCGTGACCAATCTCATGAAATGTTGGCCGAAATTCTGAAATGCATTTTCGAATAGAAAGGATTAATAAGGTGGCGTCGTAAGTTAAATCATCATGTAGCGTCATCCTATAGTATTTCGAAATCGCCAGGATATTGCCTTTTGAATGCACTTCCTTCGGACCTCCCGCAGAAACCGTACTTGGTAAAAAATGACTACTTAAGTGGCATGCATTTTTCCTACTGATTTTCGATGGTCTTAGAAATCCGAACATAGTTTATAAAAAAACATGAACAAAAAGTGCTTTCTTTTACTCGTTTGGTAGGAAATTGCATTGTCTTCACATTTTATACACAAAAAGTGTATATTTAGGTTTTGAAAAAGTTTCCCAATTTTGAGCCTGATCAGCCGTTGCATTAGCGTTTAGGGATTTCAGTTTGTAAGCTGCATGCGTTCCGCGTAAGGAAAATCATATATTCCTCTATGCTTTAAGAAGATACTGTATAGAGTTCATCAAATTTCGCAATGGATAGGGCTGTGTTGTACACTTAACGAGAAACATTGCTAAACGGACACGTGCGATGCTGTATAAATGGACACCGCACGTTCTTAAAAAAAACTCATAACAAGAAACTCTGCTACAATCGAAAAACAACCTTCCTTAGGGCATAAAATATGATGAAAATATGGTTTTCTATCAAACAAGTAAAAGAAAGCATATTTTTCTGCATGTTTTCTATGAAATATATTTGAATTTACATGACCACCGAAAATTATTAGGAAAAATGCATGCCACTTAAGTAGTCATTTTTTACCAAGTACGGTTTCAGCGGAGGTCAGAAAGAAGTGCATTCAAAAGACGATGTCCTGGCGATTTCGAACTTCTATAGGAATACTCTAAGTGATGACTAATATTACAACGCCACCTTACTAATCCTTCCCAGTCGAAAACGCATTTCAGAATTTCGGCCAACATTTCCTGAGATCAGTCACGCACGGTAGGCCCAGATTGGAATTCAGTATGAATATTTGGGTCGAAGTCCATCCCCCACGGCCGAATAACCACTTAACATTCATAAACTGCGAACAGGCAACCAGTAGTATATCCGTTAAGCCCTTTACCATAATTGACAGCATAGGTACTAGCTAAAAGCCCAGACATGTGTTTCGCCGATATTCCATCGCTACACAACGCAGCCTGTATCGCTAAGTATTTCGTTTTTACAGTTCGAAAGGCGAGACCGAAGGTGTCCTTGCTCCAGATTACAAGAAGGGTTCCTATTCCCGTCTCCTAACCTTGCTTTTAAACCTTACACCATCCCTAGTGTAGCCTCAGCCTCAACCTTTATCCTGACCCTAACTCCCGGGAATTTGCCGCAAAACCACCTGTAAAACAGGGGGGTCCATATTCCCCTGTCACACCCTCCCGATGGAACAAAGACAAATGATTGTTCTGAACCTTGTAAATCCGCGGAGTTTTCGGAAGCCATGTTCATGTTCTAATTAATGGTTCGCCGCGAATTTATAAAACAGGCCGTTTCGAAGTCTTGCTACTTCTGCGTTAATAACTAGCGAATAAATGCACCTGATGGCTCTGAAGGCCCGGAGACAATTTCCTTTTTTTCGTAGAGATAACCCTTAACAAGGTAGAAATCCGAAAAGTCGGACGAATAAAGGCCTTATTCCAGCGATCGTGTCACCTTCACGACTGCGTCCGGGAATTTACCTGTTCACTTCTATAAACAACTGATCAGTCCGCCGACAGGCACATAAAAAACCGCATTGCAAAGAACTTTCCTACAAGTTTCTCCAGCACTTACTGAGGAGGTGATAAGTTTACACCTTCAAGATACACATCCTAGTGTCTCCGTCCATAGTTAATCTAGCTGAAAGGCAGAAACCGGGCACAGGATTGCTGACCGCTACCACGACCTGGCCCAAACAAATCGGCATAACAACAGTTTAGCATGTTGCCTTGTTTAATTCCCGAGGAAATTAATGCGCAAACTTGGAGTAGATGCTTCTGAACAGACCTTTTCTTGCACGGTCCGAAAGTTCATATGAATATTTGAGCTGAAATCCATGAGCTTATGCCTGTGTTGTCAGTACGGTAAGTAATTACGCAGTCTAGCATCGTTAACGTGCACATAGCTTCATCGTAAGTGGTAGCGGCCGCCATTTCTGTAACCGTATTCTTCCCCCAAGGACGGCTCACGCTGTGAATTCCCTGGACCACCAGAGGGCTAGATCAGAGGCCGACAGGCGTTATTGGGAATGCGCAGCATTGGCTTGGCACTTTATGCACAAAGAGAGTGTATATTTAGATTTCCGATTTCCGAATATTTTGGAGCCGAATCTGCCATTGCATCAATGTTCACCGATTTCAGTCAATAAGGTGCAAGCTTTCCGCGTAAGGAAAATCATATATTCCTCTATGTCCTTAAGAAGATACCACATAGAGTTCATGAAACTTTGCAATGGATCCGGACTGTGTTGTAATTTCATGAGGAACATTAGTAAACGGACATGTACGGTCTTGCAGGCACGGTCATCGCACGGTCTACAAAATATCACAATTAGAAATTTTCTAAAACTTAAAATACATTTCGTTTATGCATACAATTCAAAGTCAATGTTATTTTCCACAAAATGAGTAAAAGAAAGCATATTTTGTGCATGTGTTCTATAAAATATATTTGAATTTATAAGACCATCGAAAATCCATAGGAAATATGCATGCTACTTAAGTAGCCATTTTTTACCGAATACGGTATCTGCAGGAGGTCAGGAGGGAATTAATCCAAAAGCCGAGATTCTGGCGAGTCCGAAATGTTATAGGATTATGCCGCATGTTAATCAATATTACAACCCAACCTAAGAAGTCCTTCCTAATCGAAAACGAATTTCAGAATTTCAGCCAACATTTCACGAGATCGGTCACGCACTGTACCTGACATGCATTTCGCCGTCTCTGCTCTCAACCTGCTTTGAAGCAACGGCCGAACCGCTGCTACGCCAACCTCTACCTACCTCGTTTTATTGATTTAGGAAACGGTATGTTACTACCGACAAATACAAGGAAGACTGGAATGGCCATTTCTGGCTTATTAGCCGTCGTCAGCCAGTCATACCCAACCCCGAAAGGTGCAACACCCGAGGCTCGAACTCGCGACCTGTTAGTTAGAAGTCCATGCCTCTAACCACTGGTCCACGAGCCCGTTGCCCTGTCGGTTTCGATCGGGAATATACAATGGTAGGGGGCGCTCACCGATCGTTCTTACGGAACTCAGTCGTTCCGTTGTGCCTTACGGGCTCTCTCTCGGATTACTGCATTCATGCATCCAATTTTTTACGCTTCTTATTCAATTTTAACTAATTCTACTAATTTATACCAATGACCTTGAATCATACAATATATCCCCCTACTCTTAAAGTCTTGGAGATTCTCAATACATTGGCAGCCATCCTTAAACAATTACCTAATTAAATAGGAACCCACTCCATTAAGACGCTAAAGCGCTTGCTATACTTAGGGCTTCGAAGCCTAGGTCTATTTGAATAGGTAACATATATGCCACTATGATTACCCGGTGTAAAACAGATCGAACGGCGTTCTTAGTGGCAGTAATTTCTTCGGAAGAAACCTAATTCAGTCGGAAGAGCAACGCTATGTCAGAAATCTAACGGTGGCAAACATGGTGTAGTAGACCACTTTTTAATCTAAAAGGCTTTTTCCAAGGCCAAAATCATGTCATGTGATTTGTAGATTCAATAGGATTTGTGACAGTTCGCGCCTACTTGTCCTCCGCCGCTTTGTCCGCCTCACACTCCTTGTCGATCCGCAGCTGGGACGCGCGAGGCTGGTCACTAGCCTCGCGAATGCCCGAAGCCAATCGACGCTGTCCCTCCTCTGATTGGCTGGCGGACGCGGAGACAACGAAAGGTGCACATACGCGCTGGGTCTCAGCACCTCGAAGGCGGACACAGACAACAACTTGCCTGGAGAGCGCGCTCGCGGCGACTGCTTGCGGAGATTTGTGTACGCACTTCCAAAACAGCAAAGGTTGTCTAACCTACTCCGTCTTCTCTGACTTTTGATTTGGGAACCTCTCTTTTGTCGACACATCCAGCATTCGACAACTGGTGACCCCGACCTGATACGAACTGGCAACCTTCTGACATTCGACAGCTTCATGGAGGAGAGCGGGCTTCATTTTGTCACAGTAAAGCGCACAGTCTTGACTTCGCTTTGCCATTAACAATAACGAAGTTGCCTGTTGGACAACATTAACAGCATCAGTAGAGGGAACGCTCACCGATCGTGTTACAGAACTCACTCGTACCGCGTTGTGCCTTAGGGCTCTCTCTCTCGAGCCCAACCAGTAGCCGCACAGTGGCGCGTAATATAGACAGAATAAAATTATCGGCAAAGACAAGGGGGACTGGAATGGCTGGTTGGGCTCGAAAGAGAGCCCAAGACACTACGCGGAACGAGTGACTTTCGTAACACGATCTGTGAGCGTCCCCTCTACCATTGGATATACGCGGTCGAAACCGACAGGACAACGAGCCCGTGGCTTAGTGGTTAGAGGCGTTAGACTTCTAACCAACTGGTCACTGGATCGATCGCCAAGTGTTCCACACTTCGGATTTGGGTATGCCTGGCTGCCGACGGCTAATAAGCCGGAAATGGCCATTCCAGTCTCCCTTGTCTTTGCCATTAATGTTATTCTGCCTATATTAGCAGCATCGAAGTGACGCTAAGGATTCTCCGACCCACTTGCCCACTTTTTGTACAGGGGCTGGCATTGGACGTTCCCATCACCTCAATTCATTCTGCCCCATCCAAAAGTAAGGGGAGGTTTGTGACGTCATAGTTTTTGATCCCTTTTTATACATGCCCTCAAGGCGTCATCGAAGCTCACAAGTACTCAAGGACATAAAGTGTTTGAACAAAATAATGCGTACTGACAAATGTGTAAGTAGCATACCAAATTACTCACTCATAGAGATTAAAGAGCGCTTCGTTGTCCATGAGGAGGGAACAGTTAGAGAGATCGAGGGTGGCATGAGTCATTAGTATTGAGTTGTAGGGCTCCACAACGGCGGTTGAGACTCTCGGCGACGGGTAGACGCTGAATTGGAAAGTTGATTGTTTGACGTACTCTGCCGCCATGCACTCTGTCAGCAGTGCCGTAAACCCCGACCCTGTTCCACCGGCGAATGAGTGAAATACGATGAAGTTTGCCACCGAGTCGCAGTTTTCCACAATGTGCCGGATCCTACTAAGAGTGAGGTCGATGATTTCACTACCGATGGTGTAGAAACCACGAGCATAGTTGCTTGCTGCATCTTCCTTACCATTGAGTAAGCAGTCTGGATGGAAGAGATGTCGATACTTTCCAGTCCGTATGACATCTGTGCGGGAGCAAATATAATAAGTGTTTCGGCGTATGTTATAAAACTCTGCTTTATGTTGTTACTACGGGCTTAACCTCAAAAATAAAAACGTTATGTGAAGCCTTTCAAAATGGCTTTAAATGGCTGGAAGCAATACCAGAAAAACATTTATCAGTCTTATCTTAGGGCTTTGTAATTTGCAGACTGTCCATGTGACTGAGGGGGTGACGGTGACCGACCACTATATACATAACATATCTGATAACAACATTTAGCGTTTTTTCACTGAGAAGTCGTATGGTTTTTTGGGAATTTCTGGCAAAAATTATCCAAAGAGGTGAAAGAATTTTTCGGGTGGAGTTGGGAAAATGTTTGCACGGACCACCTTGCCGACAGATGACGACGTCCGTCGACTGGTGTTTGAACAAAATAATGCGTACTGACAAATGTGTAAGTAGCATGTCATATTACTCACTCATAGAGATTAAAGAGCGCTTCGTTGTCCATGATTCCAAGGTCAGGCATTCTGGATATACATGTAAGTCCTCCGATCCCCATCTCAGCCGGAAACTCAGGATCTCAAATTCAGTACTGCAGCTCGATAATCGAATTCTGCCTTAAAATCCGCCCCCTCACAAGGTTAAAATTGACCTGCCAAAGTGTTCAGGCCAAAATTTTCTATCAAAAAGACGGGTGTTTGCACTCAAAGTCTTGGCGCAGCTCAACAGCCAGTCACTCAACACATTCGTTGGGTGTAAATAAATACTTTTCCTTCTCTTCAAACGGATCCAAACTCATTGCGGCAAACCGGAGGACTGAGCACGTGGGACCCGTTATCTACGCGATCAGTTTGTGCAAAATGGCTATTCGAGGGCATTCATAAGTCGCTGCCTACGCGGTCGCCACCAGAGAACTCGAACATCAACGCCACCGACGATATGGCATTCTCTGCCATATATCAAGGGTGTTTCAGAAGCGACCGAGCGCATTGCTGCGGAGCTAGGTGTTGGAATTGCACACCACCCCAAAGCCACCATGCGCAACAAAGTCATGAAAATCAAAGACCGGTTAAAGCCTGAAGAGCAATCTGGAGTAGCGTATAGCATTCCGTGTCAAAATTGTCACTGTAACTACACAGGCAGACTGGGCGCATGCTTGGATTACGCATACACGCGCAGAATCAGGCAGTGCGACGAGGCGACGCATTATCACAAGTGGCCGCCCACACCTACGAAATGGGCGGTCGCGAGTCCAACCTAGCAGACACCAAAATATTCGCCCACGCCGGAAACAAAACAGGCCGATAGTTGATTTAAGCCTGGGCCTCGGATGAGAACTCGGTCAATCAATATATCGATCTGGCGCCGGCGTACAGAGTTCTGCGTAGCCACCTCCAGTCTTGCGCCGTCGGTCGATGATTAGCCCACATGCCCTATAACTGTCGCTTGTTCTGTTGCTGCTACTACCTCTGACGATGGACTCCTGCACGAGTCTGAAAACTGGGGACAATAAACGAGTGTTCCGGTGTTCGACCCTTCTTCACTTATAAATGTTTTTCCTGTTTGCTCATATTTTAGAGACCAGTTGGGTTCAGACTCCTTAGAGGAGTATGTGGACCGTTGGTCTCTATAGCCGAAACAAACGAAGCCCCTCTTGGATAATCTGTGCTAATGTCACATGCTAACCACGCGCGCCAAACTGTCCTGATTGTAGGACGGAAATAATCGATTTTCCCTGGCCTTAGAGCCCTTACAGGGAATCGCATGGTGCTTAGCAGTCAATAACTGAAAAGCGTTCACCGATAAAAGCAGGAACGAGACCGGAGAGGCTATTTCTGGCCTATATGGTGTAATTAGACACCTTAGGTCTACAGCCTGAGACTGGGATCTCACTTGCTGAGGACACGAAGTAAGAGGACGAAGATGCGATCACTGGAACGAGGAATTTATTGGCCTGGCGTTTCGGGTTCTCAATCGAATCCATCATCAAAGACATTCGCAGATAAAGGTAAGTAAGTCAGAAATAGTCATTCTACCGACACCAGTCTTCCTCGGCATCAACCCTCGAGTATTGTTGTAGCGCTGGTAGCGGAATCATGGGACCCACTGGCATGATCGCACTCTAACCCTGCATAACGAGGCCCATACAACATGTCCCAGCTGCGGACACCGATGAGCATCAAATGTGAGCCCACTAGACGGACACTTTTACAAGCATAGTATGCAGGATAACCGGAGGTATCTTCTTCGTTTTCCGTGGTAAATGATGTCTTTTAGAGATGAACTCCCATGGGAATGAGTTTATTTCAGTTTATTTTGATAAGGATGATAGGCAAAGCCTTTGAAAACCCTATTGATTAAATGTCAGCTCGTTAGAAATAACTGTACAGTAACAATGAAAATATTCGCTATATAAATAGTACTTGATTCATTTGAGTAGCATTGTCGAAGAGAAAAAAATATGCGGGGAACCGGGGTATTTGAGTAAAACCAGGGTGGAAGCGAGCTCGCACAGCCAGGACGTCGACCAGCAATAAAAAATGCATTTGGGCCACGGTATAGAGAAGGACCCCACTTAAATTTCAGTAGGCTGTGGATCGGACCATACTTGATTTACGGTAAAGGGAGTTTTAAGGGGTTTGGCAGCACGCTAGACATTAAGCTGAAAAAATAAAAGAAAACACCGAAATTGCCTGGATTTATGCCGAAAGTCTTATCCTACGCTACTGTGCAACGACGGAAATGAGAGCAGTAATTGAACGATAAACAAAAGGTAAATTTCACAAAGTAACGGATTTTGACTTAAGGTGTGAGGTCGTGGGAAGTAATCATTGTTGGCAGCGTAATTTCTGCAACAGCCTGCAAAAGTATGCCAAGATAAAACCCCATATGAGACGGTCCACGGTCTACTGACAGTTAAGTGGGGTCCTTCTCTTTACCTTTGCCTGCATTAGGCTACACTCTAGTGACTTGAGGAAGAACGCATGGGTCAAAGACGGGTATTCCCCATACAGTTAAATACATGCTGCAAACGGCGGACCTGTCCTTCCGAACATAGTAGGGAAGTTTGTTAGCATGAGATCATTTTACTAATGAAGTCCTCCAAGCAAAATTCAATCGAACTGTCTCGGCTGTTCATTTACAAAAAGTCACGGCATATTCGCCCACACTCGTCACTCTGATATGCGGCTAAACCGATTCAGCTACTTACACTGACCCTGTGACTTCGACTTCGCATGCTCTTACCTTGAATCATTTCAGTTTTCCCACACACAACGAGCGCAATTGGGACGGCTTACCAACGACTGTCGGCTCAAGGTCAACAAAGATCGATCGTGGAACAAATTTGGAGGCCGAAGATTCACTGAAGAGGGTATCTATGGCAGGGTTGGATGCAGCCTGCTTGGAGAGACCGGCAGGATCGATGCCGTGCTCTAGAGTGAGCAACTGCCAACAAGATGAACCCATCTGTACTCCTGCCTGGCCGAGGTGTATGGTAAGACATTGTGGCTGGAGACAGAAAGCAAGACACAGCGCAGTTAGGCGGATGTAAGCGTGGTTAGAGGGAGATAAAGATATGCAAGAGCTCGAACGCCTACCTCCGGCGTTTGCTAAAACTGTGCATCTGGCTGGCGCATACTTGCACCTGCGCACCGGTGGTGGCAATCGCTCACATGACATTCTGAGGCTCTGTATGGTGCATTCATCGCGTCTGGCCAATCGGTGAAACCGAGAGGCTCTGTCAGACATTCGGCCAATCACGGCTATCCAAACTGGCCAATCCACTCCGAGGTCGACGCGGACTTGTATTCACTCAAGACACACACACGCGATGGCAGAGTGCTTCTCTCCGGCGGCAAACTTGCTCCAACATATTCATTCCCCGTTCAGTACAGAATACAAGTTTCCCCCCCCCCGACTGGTGTTCATCTTCTCCCACTCGGGGCCTGGCCTTAGGATCGGAGCGCTAAGTGTCTCCCCTATTCCGAACTCGTCACCGGAAAACTAAGAATGCAACGTTGCCGTCTGTCGATTGGCTGACCAGCCTCATTAGGTCTATCAGATGCCGTTAGTAGTGTGATAGTGTGGCGTATCCGCAGATCAGATGCCGAGAAAACCGAGTTGGAAGCGCACCCGGGAGTTACATGTGGAGGATGGCTGTGTAACCCCCCGAAACGGGTCAGGTGGTAGATGCGTTGGACCAACACGGGGGCCAGGCGTTACCGGAATGCGCACCATAACAAATGCCAACACCTCGGGGTGCGGTAGCAGACTCAGTTGTCGGCAGACGTCGCGCACACACGCATTTGCGCGTGTGAAATGTAGATGCTGCAAAGCTCTCCTTTTGATTTTGAATTCATTCAAATTGGGCAGGTTTCCTTGGAAAAAATGGTAACTTCATAGGCACAACACCGTCAATAGCCTCTTTGACAGCGGATGAGATCGAACTTGGGCGTAATAACTGACCGGGAACTTCGTTCACCGTTTCCCGTCTGTCGCACACGGCCTACTCAAGGCAGGACCTTACTCACTCGGCAATCACATCTGCAGGGGTCGCCAAAGGGTCACGTTCAGAAGAAGAAGAAATTTGGACCTGAATCGAGGCCTGAGGTGTCCCACCAGTTGATGACCTTCCATGCGACGAGTTTTGATCCAGCGCACCAGCTCAGAGGCGGGTCAGACTGAGTGTGCTAGGAAGAAGTCACAGGAGGTAGAGCACACTCTCGCTCCCGCAGTCATCATCACCAGCAACACTATGTCATCAACAACACCGCCATCACCAGCTCCTCCTCCTCCTCCTTCACCACCGCCACCACCACCGAAAGCCCCAAAAGCGCCACACAACAGGAAGGCAAAAGTGTTGTTACTGTACCGGACCGGGCATGTTAATTAGTCAGCATGTAGTAGCATAGTCAGATTTCCACAAGTTATTTTTCTGGTCGCATACAGCGATGACGCGCGGGTGGTGGGGTGGGGGGGGCAAGAAAAAACTACACAAACTCTGGTAAAGGCAGTTTTGACTGTGGCTCCACCCCACTTCCAACATCAGTACTACCTTAACCTCCAGACGCCTGTTTCGCGGCTGTTAGGGATCCGGTCCTTCACTGAATCCCCCAGCGTCCTCTGTGTGGTTTCTACAGCATGAACTCCAGCAGTAGATGGTGAACTAACAAGTTCATAAATTATCTAGCAAGGGACTCGGAGGTAAGCGACCGGGACACTACTTTTCAGATCAGGCTCAAAATTCTAGTGAAGCTCTGGTTCACGACGGTCAACTTCGTCGTATTCTACAAACCAGTAATATTATTAGTCTTATACTTTTCTATGGAGAATCATGTAAACGTCCAAGCGGGTGCTACATTTGTTCTCTTCGAATCAGATCTTCATTATAATTTCATGACTTTCACTAAAGGTTGTCATTAGGAGGTTAAAAATGCGAGTGGTTCGAAATGCTAATCAGGATGCATGAGTTCCAAAAGTGAATGAACAACTGGTTATCACTTTGAGCCTACCAACAAACGCAAGCGGTTTCACAGGTCACATGAAGACGACATCCAAATCAAAAGTGCTTGAAATGTTCATGTACAGAGAAGTAAGGTCACGAAATTTGTTTTTGCGAAAAGCAACGTGGGGGAGGGGTAGAAAGTGCGTCGGGAAATGAACGTCTGTTGGCCTGTAGCGAGCAGCCATCATGACCGTCATGGTTCAAGAACTCGCTGCCTCAGGGTCATTCACCCTTTGCAGTGAGCCGCTCCAGACGTGCTGACCTGAAGTTACACGACCAGCAGCTCGGGCATACCTGCGTCCGCACAGCTGCAGCTGCCCATGAGGCCACTTGGACGCACTTCCCCCCTGCAACCACAACCTAAGCCACTGGGACACCACCCCTCGGCAAATGTAACACACGCTGACTGGACACCACTTAAGCTTGGCCCATGAGCCTGCAAAAGCGTCTGCTACCACTCTCCCAAGGGCTCTCATGCATGACTGGACGCAGTCAACACCAGCCATGGCTTCGCCAGTGACCACTGCCGCCTGAGAGGACAACTCCGGCTTTTAGATACATCAAACCCCTCATTCTGGTGCCTTCCGTCTTCTCCTTCCAACATAGGATTTGCCCTGATTATGGTGACGCTCAGACTGCACACATTCACACCGCTTGACCACAACAGGCCTTACGTCTCCAAAGTAGGCAGTCTTCATTCACCGGATAAAAGAGCGTTTACGTTCGCGCTGACAGGTCGTTGATCCAATGTGACTGTGTCCTCGCGGGAGGCGTCTGCTACAAAAAGATAACTGGGTCCGATGAAGGGAGGGTGCTGCAGATTTATTCGACGCACTTATTGCTAACGTTTGCACTGACGTCCATTGTTATAACACAGCTTTTCTCGTCTTCTGAACTTGTTAAAAGGACCTGGGCATTTGTCTCCACCCAAATACTTTAACCATTCTAAAACATCTACTGATAGCATATCAGTAGCGTGCTTATTTAACTGTCCAGTTTCGGTTAGATTTACAGTAGCAGCTATTACCCTCGAATATGCGGAAATATACTGAAATTTCTAGCAGTTCTCAATGCCACCTGGTCTACGATCCAAAGTGCTGTCAGTTTGACAGTATTCGTAGACTCATTACGCGACTGGGAGTGGAGCGTCACGACTGGAGGATGGCGTGTTTGTGTAGCAGGCCTACGGATTATTCCCGGTTATGCAGCTGCTCCATCGACCATCCTGAGAGGCGACAATGCGTCCGTTTGCGCCAAAACGCATGGCCATCAGCGACGACAGGCTCATCTTGTTTCTCATCCTCGTGCGTGCTTGTGCCGCTGAGCAGTTTTTCTGACATACTTTACTTGACAAACACCACTTTTGACCCAACAGACAAAGCGTGATGCTTCAATTTGTGGTACTTTGTCCATCAGGTCGGTAGGCAATACTAATCCCCCAGTTTGACGACGAGTTCAGACACTCTGACAGTATGCGGCAGATGTTGGCCCGTTAAGTGCCCCAAGTCGTCCAATCCGTTGGTCGTGGACAGAGAATTCGTTGTGGCATGCTTTCACTCTCATGTAGAATGCTCCTAAATGGTGGGGATGATTTTACAAACATAAGATTTGGTGTCTGCTATAAACGCTCGTGTATACCGTTGTCTGCAGGGTCCCGTCGCCCTTTTAGCGGACAAGGACATTGATGTAAACCTGGCTGCTCCCAAAAGGTCAGGGCAATAAACATTCATTTCCGGAGGTCCTTTCTTCCTTTCGTACGTGTCCGGGAACGCTCATGCTTGCCGCTTTCGATAGTAACGTGAGCTTCATTACACTTCCGATGAGATGATAGGCACAAAGGAGAGAAATAGACGACGAGGCATATCTTAAGGACAGATGGAACATAAATTCTCAATTTGCGGCCCAGCCCGCATGACTGAGACGAACGCTCGTCCTTCCTTAAAGTGTTTTTGACAAAACCAGGGGGCTGGAATGCCAATTTTAGACTTGTTTGGCAGTATCAACAAGCCACAGCCCAGTCCCTGGGCTTAAATCTGGTTCCCTTGAGTCGAACGCTCTTACCACCTGAATTAACGGACCCACGCTTCAACCTCCGCGATAGGGCTCCGGGCCCGAAGCTTCAAGGCGAAACGGAGTCGTCTCGTGTTCTTTCTTTAAATCTGAGCTACCCGATGAGCGTAGTGCTAGGGCGTCCCCCAACTCGTCCGACTGTCACGTACAGCGGCGAAGCACCCCGTCGCGCGCGCGTGAGTTAGGAATCAGCACATCACGGGGTCACGGGCGACCTCTCGGCGCCGGCAATCATCGAGGGTTTGCACTTGCTGGCGCCAAGAGCTCAACGCCGTGGATAGGAGGTTTGAGAGTCGATGTGCACACAGAGAGTGTCATATGTCTGGCTTACGTAGACAGAGAAATCGGTCCTGGCTTTCGCAGCCTCCCTTGTTTCCACGACCGAGCTGTAAATCCGAGGTTCCAAGGCACCTTGTGTTCCACAGCAGATCGCTGAAGATCATTTCCGCATGACATGCTCATTTGATCTGACTGAGAGTCGCAGAGGTTGACTCATTTTCCTCCGACTCGGAATCGAGGAATCTTTGAATCAATCATTTGGCTCTTCAGGCGTCACATGTCAAGTTCAGGGTTCCGCCAACAGAGTGGATGACGAGATAAACGGTGTCTGGTGAACGCAGATTCCGAATCCTTCCTTTCCTCACTACCAACACAGTCGGTTAAAGCTCGGCAATTGCTGATGGGGACTGGAAGATAGCCAGTTGGCCAGTGAGAAATTGAATTCCAACTTCTTCATCAGTTCTCTCGTCGTACCAGGAGATGGATTAGATATCCAGCGAGGATCGTCAGGACAGTAGTGAGAGTTCTATGTCTTAGCTATCTCGAAAGGCTGCCGAAGTGGACGTATTTACAACAACTCCAGGACGACGAGGCTGATTGCCTTATGTTGCGC